GTCTGCGTGCAGGCCTAGGGCCGTTGGTAATCGTGGGAATTTCGGGACTATTATACATATAGCCGCCGGTCTGCCACTGACAAGAATGCAGGGCCCGACGGGAAGTGTTGTAGTACATCCCATTTGTTAGCAACTGCCTATGGATGTTGGTACAGTACCATGTACTGCAATGGGGAACGTCCGCCCAGGCGCCGCACGATCAGAAATTGGAATAGAGGACTGTTCGGCGTATATATGTTGTGAGGCAGTAAAGGTTCCCAATCGTGCACCAATACAGTCGACTCTGTCTTAACCCATAACGGGTCGTGGAACCCAAAAGTTATGGGTTTCTGCAGACTATGGGTTACCAGAACGTGTGACATTGTGTGACTACCTAGTAAGCGTGACAGACAGCCTATCCGGTATAGGCCGGACGTCGTTTATGACAACGTTCAGATACGGAATCTTGAGTCTGGTATGGGTTATCTTCTGGAATACCACGAGAACCAAAAAATAACGGTCCAGATGGTCCAGATTCTCGTGGGAAGGAGACCTGTACCTTCCTAATATAGGTTGTTTTATGGGTTATGACCCTCCAAAAAGCTATGGGTTATGGGATACGGCAGACTTATGGGTTTTTACTATCTACCATGTTGGTGGAAGCCAGAAACCTATGGGTTATTACAGGTTATGGGTTATGACAGGTATGGGTTAAGACAGAGTCGACTGTAATAATATAGGGGATGAAGGTAAATGGGAGCTTGTACATCACTCCTGTCTCAAGCCAGTTGAAATCCCAGACGTGAGGTAAGCTCAGGCTGTCTGGTACACCTAGGCAGAAGATGGGATTAAGATATTCAGGATATCTGCGATTGCACGCAAATGGTAGTATTAGATCCGCCGCCCTTTCACACAAGCGTAAGGACCAGGAGTATCAGCAGACCTCGCTCCGGGTCGAGGCACAAGGCACCCCAGGACGTGTGCAATCTGAAGTCGGGAGAGTCGATGCTCGATTGGCAATTGCAATCGAACACAACTTAACTTGACTCCCGCCAGACTCGGGAGTGAAAGATCATCCGTGGGTGTTCACCGGCGTTTTCTTTGATGGAAAGCGATCGCATTTCTGTCACATTTACACGATGTCAGGGACAAGGCATCGGACTCGACTTACTTGATGGGTAACAGCGAGATGCGATGGCAAAGGTCTCGAGATGGTCTCACACGAACCCTCAGGGCAGGATAATCCTCCCAGGCCAGAGTCGCGTTCCACAGTCCAACAGGCCACTGATTTATCCCCGTGCACACAGACGTACCGATAGATAGTCTCGCCACGATCTTCCTGAAGTTCTGATAGAATACATGCACAGTACCCATTTTGATCTTCCGTCGCGATCGGCTAGAGATGTTGAAAGTCACTTACAATATAAAGCCCCTACCGCATGCGCTCCCATCCAAGTTCCGATACAATGCAAGCCCCAGCCGCCGCCCGAACCACCCTCATACTCTTCGCAGCCGTCCTGCTTGCCACCAGCGCAGTAGCGAGACCGACAGCGGGCACTGAGGCGGCGTGCGATCCAGAGGGCCCGGACTATGGGAGTAAGCCTCGTCGTCCATCTATCTCCTTCGTCGAGCCAGTGCTGACCGCCGTCGATTGTTTGTAGTGTCTCCGGACTGTATCGCTATGTAATCGGAGAGTACACGCGTATGTGGGGGATAACCTGCGGGCATGTAAGTCGTATATCAGAAGCCTCACGAGCCCAACTCATTTCAATATACATTGCAGATGCGCAGATGGAGGAAGGACAAGGTCCGACCGAGTTCTCGCTGGTGCAAGACATGCCTGGTAGATAGATAGAAAGATCCCCGAGATGCAATGGACGACGGGAAGTCTGTCATAGGAGATATGTGTGTATTATGTTGTCGCCGTACGTCGTGGCAAGCCGCGGCCTCGCGATCGTGTCAGAAAATTCTCCCGCTGTGACTGAAAAGCAGCATCGAGCCTCGCGATATCGACGAGAACATGCAAATATGACTCACTGGCAGTAGGATCCGCTGGTCCAGTGCCACCAGCGAGAGCTGCGCGCTGTGATAGGCTAGAGTAGACTGGAGTGTGACAGACGCGTGACGCACGAGCTGCTTGAATTCGAACTTGAAGCTGAAGCAAGGCTACTTACAGAGCGTGCAGCTTCAAGCTTCGAACCCTTGCCCACTGCATATTGTCCTAAGTGATCCTTGCTTTAGTCTGGAAGACCTTCATGGAAGTACGTATGATGGGTCGCCGTCTTTCCGCACCACCGAACACTGGCAGGGCCTTCTGATTTACCAAGGAGTCAAGACATCCCCAGATGTCATACTCGAGGACGAAGACTACACCGTTGATTCAGGACCCGGAGAAGCGGCTAGACTTGACGTTCCAGATGTGCTCGGAAGTCTCAGGCCTGCGCCCTCTCGCCGGTATGTCAATATACTACTCTCGATGTTGCACCGTGCGGACTCCGTACTTGGGTAGACGACTCGGACGACGCCGCTCAAACTTTTACATAGACACATCGTCTCCACCACGTGTCATGTTGAGGGACACTCTGACGCTTGGCTTGAACACTGATCGTCGGCGCGAACTTGGTAATAATGGGACATGATGTATTATTATAAAGCACTCGCAGATTCCATGACAGGAGTTATTTTGACATGTCGTATCGTGACTAGTACTGTCGCTCTTTTGTACCCATATCCTGAATCCCTCCATCTGAAGGTGCCCCTGGGCCACGCAGGCGATTCGGCTGTGCTGCATCACGTCCTACCCGACCGCGACAACCGTGGTGGCGCACGTCCTATCTTTGCTATCTAACTGTATGAGATATCGACGACACTGGCGGCGTGGATCGACAGTGCCATATGTCCTTCATGTTACTGATGAGAGTATTTGCTTCCTGAAGGAAACTCCGCGGTGGGCCTCAGTTTACGCAAGTTCCCATCATTTGTTAAGGGCGGTGCAGCGAACATTCTCAGTGATATTCATTGTAAGTTGTTTTCTCTACGAGTGTATCAGACTCTGATGAGAAGCTGCTGCCTTCCTTTAGCACAGGATGGTCCATCAGGTGCTCCCGCTGAGTAGCACTTTGAGGGACGCGTCTCGTGTCCTCTCCCAAACGCCCGTGCTCATCGCGACCTCGCATTTCTCCTTCGTGAACATACTCGCAAATCCCATGGTAAAAAATCGCACGAGAACCGAACGCATCACTGACCTCGCTGGTATGGCCTCCTGTTCATAGCAACACGCGAACAGTAGCTAACGTATTCTTTCTTGTAGATCACAGAGTTGAGGACGCAACGGAGGTGCTAGTCGCCGCCTTTGCAGAGGGTAATTTCCTCCTTATGACAACACATCCGCTCTGACTTAGGTGGGTTCCAGATCCTGTAGCTCGTGCCATGGTGGGCGGGAGAGATGATCTGCGAGTTCAGATGCACAGAGCTGTAGTGCGTGCCACCATCGTAGGAGGCGAAATGTGGATTGCAACAACAGACGACGGGAGAGTAGTTGGAACGGCATGCTGGTACCCACCTGGCTCAGACTTCCTCGCAGAGTAAGCACTAAGCCCTCTATCGTCATTTGCAGCTAATCATTTGTACTCTCAGTGATGCACAAACAAGTCAAGGATTCGCGGATTTCTTTGCACAGCTCGAACGCGTTGATCCAGGCATCCACAAATGGTGGCTGGAGACGGTACGTCTTCGTCATTGAGGGTGTCCTCTCGATAATGACACTTTCCAGCTGATGCCGGCATACGGCAACATATCAAAGCGATTCTATGCATCTCCAGATGACCCTGAGGGTGTTAACTTCAAGAAGAATAACTGGAATGTCGTCTCCTGGACAGTGCTGCCTGAATTCCAAAGACAGGGCATCGGTAAGACTCTCATGCAAATTGGCGAGGCTAAGGTTTGTGGGATAATTGTATGAGTCGACGCGTAAGTTCTGACTATCAGATAGGCGGCGGAACAACATCTCCGGGTCTGCGTTGAGACAGAGTCCGAAGAGCATGTAAGTCACGATCTTCTTATTTGACGCTGTGCTAATGATATCTTTGATGATCCAGGTACAAATGTACCGCCAGTTTGGCTACGAACTGGTCGGATCAGAATATGTGCAGGGTCCACCTGGAGTCCCCGGGTATCATGAATTTATTCTCATCAAATCTCCTCAAGCATGAAGGTTCTCAGGCTTAATGCAGCGTTGGTACTGTGGATACGAAATTTTCGCTTTTGGGGCTCATATTGCATGTATCAGTGCCTAGCTCGGGAAAATATGATGAATGAATCAGCCGAGCTAAAGTTGGCCTCATCTCAAAGTAGCTGGTCTCGGATTCCTCCTGCTAACAGTGATCTTCGATCTGGAAGGTGTCAGGTTTCTCTTTAGTGTTCGTGGATAGTGCTGTCATGGTCGTGGCTATTAAGTGAGGGGCATTAGAGCTTGCCGGCATCCTCCCCGATTGTCCAACCTGCGACATCGCTCACATGCAAAATTATAGACGTCTGCCTAGCGAGGAGGAAGCGGACTCTTCATTTCCGGAGCGCCTGGTTCCTCTGGAGTTAGAACAAGAGAGTGAGTGCTGAGAAGTAAGAAGCTGGTATGTAAATACTGAATCTAGCTTTGTAGAATCTGCATTATCCAGAAACTTGGTATGGCTGGTGGTCGCATGTGCCTTGTGTACGGTTGCCAATATCGCCGCTACGGGTATAAACATGCGTCTTCATGCTGTTGAGCCAAAGTTCGGGACTCCCCACACCCTGAAGACTATTCGGAGGCCGAATCAATTTATCGGCCTGGATAAAGTCGAGCGGGGACAGGTCACATATACTCCATTTGCTAATTATCCGGCACTCCTCACACAAGTCGACGCCTCCAATCCAAACTACGTTTATTCCGATGACCCTCTCAGGTGGAAAACGTCTCGGGGCTCTATCTCCCCGGACGACCGCCGCGTGCTCCTGACCGCGACAGTAAGCAGGTGCACCATCATATGTGTGGTTCCTACCTGTATAACACGGGATGGATTATATCGACAGGTCTCCACCATTGCACAGTTCCGTATCCTGGACTATGGGATGGAACGATGTGAGTTGATGGTGCAGGTGGCAGCCGATCAGACCTTAGGGCCTGAATCATCCATGCGTCTATCCGAGTCCTTCGCGAACTCCAGTAAGCCGGAGCCGGGTTGCATCAGTGTTTGGAGACTGGATGCACCTGAACCTCTGGATCCCAAGAGGTTGTGGTGGCGTAACAAGCCCACGCGAATCAGCCAGGTTGCAGCATTTGATCCGCAGGTGGACCCGCCATCTGTGTACCGTTTTGACTGCGTACAAGATTCACTTCATTCCTTCGAGATTGTCGCTGAAGATGAGTCGTGTTATATGGAGTGGTGGCAAGATAAAGGGACATCTACTTCGGGTGCGTTTCAAATATTATACTAGAGGCACTCTTCTCATAGAATGTTCAACAACCAGCAATATATCTGCAGCAGTCAATGAGTGTTTGATATGGAATGCACTTGTTCACTATTACCGGTAGAATGATGAAGACCGATGTGCACGGGTTAGCGAGCTACGTAACTATGGGATAACCATCTTCCTCCTCTTCCAGTCTTCGTAGTTCGACTCGAGGTAATCATACAGAACACTCCAGTCCTCGCATGCCATTGTATCTCCCATCTGTCCCTCCGAGTAGTTACGTGCCATAAAGTCACCACTTTCTAGGGAAAAGTCAGCCTTGCACAGGAATGACTGTCGAAGATAATTTATGCAGTGGCGAATGTGGTGCGGATTCGCCAAGGGATGGTTTCTGTCGGCGATGGCACGCTGCATTTGGCGGAGACAGTGAAGTTGATGGAACATGACAAGGGCAAACAGTCGGTCATCGGGGCCCAGCCGCACCCAACCAAATCCTTCTGGATTGTTAACGATTGTTGCCCAGTCCTCGTCAGCGCCGGGCCCCGCAAGCGGGAAGTGCACGGTCTCTTGGAGAGCGAGCTCGGCAGGTGGGAGAGAGTGAATCGGTAATATGGCTGGATAATCAGCACCAATGTAACCTTTACACGAAACGCCAAAGTCAATTATCATGCAATCGGAGGGCACATATGAAGTCGCACTGTATGACACAGTTAACCTGCGGAACAAACTACTTGCGTTCCACAGCAAGAGACAACAATTAGCCACACATAGGATTGCAGCTATCGGTAGAAGGAGGGACACGTGAGGGAGCATAGCTAGAGGTAACCTGTACGGAGGGTTATAGACGAGCGAGCTGACTTTGATACTCCAGTGAAGGACAGAAGCGGCGGTCACTAGCAGAAGTTACGGACCTATAGCTGATACAGATTCATCCCACCTCCCGTACGCCCGCCTTTGGGATGAGGCACAAGTCATTCCGAGATATCAATGAGCTGTAATTGGATCATCCACGGTCCTGCACATCCTGAGAGCAGGCCAATTATAGGGGCCTATCGGACCGTTACGTGCTGATGAGTCCTGCTCATGTTCCCACTTCAATTACCTATGTCCGGGGAGATCGTCACGGTGGCTTATGACTGATACGACGGACAAACGTTTATCACTGTCAGTGTCCAAGCCATCGAGTGATTTTCACAGCCGTTTGCAGATCGATGGACCACCAATCCAGAAAATCGCGTATAGTCGGAGTGGGTCGGAGTGCGTCCCAGGGACGTCGGAAGAAGGTAGGGAAGTCCTGATGGTCTGATTTCCGTCTCTCAGGGACTTAAAATTGCTTGTCCGACGTGGTCCGACTGTAAATGATTTTGAAAAGTGGGCGCATCAATCTGCAAACGGCTGCAAAGATTCCCATTGCTGTGGAATTGACTGATACTTAAACAGTGATTACAATGCCGTCTAAATCTGACCTTGCGGGAAGATACTCCGAGATATGAGTCAAACTGACAACTTTCATTGAGTGTGGTCGCACCGTCAAGGTACACCCCGGTGATAAAATATTGCCGTTGTGGTAAGTACTCTCGCTGTTCTAGGTTCGAGCTGGGACTTTGGAGGCATGTGGATTCATGACAGAATGTCATTCAGGGTACACAAGGACCCCTGAAAGTACTAATGGAGGTTAGATACCAGAGAACCTGATTTCCTTCATTTTTACCGGGACCGAATTTCACCTAATTTGGCTGTTTTTACCGGGACGCGATACCAACCTAGCCATGTGGCTCGAGATTTACCGGGACCCAGATATCCAACCTCCGAATTTTGATCCGGTTACAAGGGTTTTTCGTGGCCATATTTGATCAAAATAAGGCATTATTCGCTATAATATGCAATATATAGGCCCAATGTTGCCAAAAGAGTGCAATCTCAGCTCAAATATTTATTGGGGCAAATTGTGGCTGCACAAGCGAGTGATTGAGTGCCGGGAGAAGCCGGGTATATACCACAATGGTATCTGACCTTGGATATCGAGCCTCAATTCTACCGGGACTGAAGTATCCGGCCTTACGGGCGCTTCGCCACATTTTACCGCAACCGTATCTAACATACGGCCTCCAGACCTCACTTTTTTACGGAATTGGTATCTAACCTCCATCGGTATTTTCAGGGGTCCTGGTACACATCATCCGCTGCGTGCAGAGATAGAGAATGAACGAAATTGATTTAAAATCTGGTGGTTGAAGTCGCCACGGTGGAAAATAGAGCATGCGCGGCTTTACATTTGATAATTTTGATCGTACATCTGAACTCAGAACGCGCGCGCCCGAGTAAGTTCCTAGTTCCGAGAGTTCCCGAACGACCATATGCTCAGATGCTGAGCGCTACAGAAATTTTGATTACCCGGACACGCTCAGCCTGTGCACTGTACAGTGTCCGTGGAGTCAACACGCAGTGCTAACATTCTTGTCAAACTGTCACCGTGGCGTTCATCAGTGCTGTCCGCGGCTCCCACCAGAGTCACAGGTTGGCTGACAAGGAGGTATACATATATAAAGACTGTGTTCTGCGGGCCCTGGGGATCGTTCTGATGTAGTGTGTTAGCGAGACTCCATTGCCAGGCTGCAGTGTTCTGCCAGTGATCGAAACAGACCCATGTCAGCTCCGTGCCTACAAGTCTTCAGTTGATCTCCTTGACTAGATAATCTTATAGCCGCGGAGCATGCAGAATATCGTGAGACTGCATATATCCCACATTATATGCCTGAACGGATGCCAGCTATCCTGGCATAGTATGATGTCTCAGGTCAGGATAACGCCCCCACCGAGGAACCGAGTCTGTATCGTCGCGATGATTATGCTTGCCGGTACACTCATGGCCATCCTCTCCTTCAAGTTCTTTGGATCTCAGAATAGTGAGTTATAATGCACTTACACTAGTAAAGCTGAGTTCATATCGTTGTCGACTCGCGTGCAGAAAATTACAATCCCTCCTCATGGAACGTCCAGGCAGGGGGCCCTGTCATACTTCGTACATCAGACACAGTCCATTATCCCCTCGATGGACCTGGCTGCGACGATGAATTTGCGAGCCTTCTACCATCTGGTGGACACCTGGTTTACATCAACGGAGATGGTCGGACTGAGCCATACACTGTTACCCTTTTCCACCAACTTCGCTGTCTCGACATCTATCGACGAGAGTACATTGCTGATCCACCGCCGGAGAAACCCTCGCCTCTCATCCGTCACTGCATGAACTACCTTCGACAGATGGTCCTTTGTCATCCCAACATGGGCTTGGAATCTGTTCACCGCACGAGAGGCTCAGTCACGAGCCAACCGCACGATGCAGTTTGCAATGATTGGGCAAGGATATACGAGGAGGCGGAGCAAAATTGGAGGGCACAGAGACGATTTCACCAGCACTCAGGCTGAGTTGGGCGGAGGCACTGCTGAAGAGCTACAGGAGGCTAGAGTACCGCCCATGATTCTACATATAGTATAGCACAAGATACAGTGATCATTGTTCATTGTAACATGGATGTAGTTTTGGCATCATCCCGTTAGACACCCTCAAACATACATAACTGTAAGGAAGGGTAGTTATCGCCACCCTACAGTCAGGACACCATAGACTGTCAGATATCATCCTACATATTGTGGAATCACTAGCACCCCTAAGGTTCGATCTGTTCTCCTTTGAATACGACCGTACTCCCCGTGACGTCCGAGCGTTCGGGATTGAATGTTTTCATTGGATAGTCCGTCGTCGTGTTAGTGCTGAAAGTTGCTTGGATAGCACCTTTTGGGTTTGAGGCAAAGACAAGCGGCGGGGGTGTCGCCGTTGTTTTGCGAGACCAAGCACGACCGGTGGCAACGCGATAGATGATGAGTAATGGTGCTATAATCTATGGGAAAAGGGTGATAAATCCATGCGAATGGTGGGTCATTGAATTCATAATGGAGTGAACTCAGTTTGTACCTGTACTTGACTGAGAACTTGCATGAAAATGCCTTGCAAGGGGTGATTCACCACATATGGTACCAGGAAGAGGATTGAACATATGGCGTAGAGCGCAGCAGATTCCACCAGCATCGCCGCTGTGGAGGTGTATTGAGCTGAATGGGATCTTCCGAGCGCATTGATGACCGCTCTCCGATGAAGCAGTAAACGGACCAGAATCAGGATGGTGAGGAATATATTCAGAGCCAGTGACGTGGAATAGTATGCCAGAACGATGTTCACGCTAGACGCTTGCCAAATGCTTGCACCGGGGCGTGATTCGTCAAACATCAAGAGTATGCCCATGGCTGGTACACAATACTGAGGACACGTGCAGATCTACGGCCAGTCGACTCACCGATCGAGGTCAAGTAGACAAGGAACGGAACCGACATGATAAACCATATGAATCGGCCGGACCAGACGACCGTGCACCGCCAGAGCTAAGATACAATTTCTCAATGACGGTCGAGACAAACCACTAAAATGTAACTGAGGTACTGACCATCAAACCATCCGCAAGCCAATTAGCAAGCACATAAACAATGACACCCAGCAAGTTAATGGGTATTGAAAACGCTGCTGAAGCCCACGCAACGGGACCTCCTGGGTAGTTTCGATTCTCGATGAATTCCATTTCATTAGTGCGCGTAGCCGATGCAAAGTAGAGCGTCCCGAGGATGAACATAACCGTGATGTACAGCAGAAACGGCCACTTAGACCGATCATGCCGCACTTGCTTCGAGAGAAGGCGGAAGCACATCACAAACAGCGTGAAGTGTATACCTGAACATAGACACATTGCAAGAATGAGCAGAAGTCTAGGCATATGCAGCAGCTATTTACCGTAGACGAATCCTGTGACCACGGCCCCGTCCAAGTAACACTTCTCCCATAGTAACAGTATGTTCGGCTCGCCGGGGGGACGGTTATCTGGAGAGTTAATGGGGGGAGTCGACATAGTGCTTCAGGAAAGGGGTGGGCCGGTACGTTATCGCAAATCCACGATGACCCTGGATATTTGAATCATGGCAAGATATCAGATGTCACTGGGCGAGCATGAAGACCCATGTCCGGGGCTTCCGTCCAGAACGGCGGGAGAACCTGCTCTCACGACGGACAGCAGAGCCTCCTATGATGACAACGTCAGGGTCTAACTTCGTTCAAGAGACTGTCATCTCTCGTTCCTGGATACCTCGGCTTACCGCGGTCCCTGAAGAATGTCCCGCCAATTCGGCGGACTGAAAACATTCCGAGCTTCGAGTCCAGGCGGTCACCTAAGAGGTGGGAAACCAAACAATGTGCTATTCTGCTGTCTCTTCGTGTAAGTATATCTGAGACTCATCATTTCAGCTAATTGATACATCAAGGAGGTCACCTACGGAATCTCCCATGATCTGGTATCGTCGATCGCCACTTGCGGGTTGGATATCGATTCTTGATAACAGAGCTACCGGCTGACACAGCTCTCATATAGGACCTGTGGATCACCCATAAGGACACGCCGGTGGCTTTGTCAATTATAGCTTCGGGCCGCCAGCAAGCGGGGGGGCTGTCGATCAACGCCTTGAATAGCCAGAAATCAGGATTTCATGCGAATTTCGAGCACTGGGATTTCAAAGAAGCAGCTAATGAAACTGACACTATTTCAGCCAACATTTGCAGAACAAGGAGTGTTCACCGAAATTGCTATGGCCCGGAACTCGTACTGCACCCTTCATGACAGCTCTTGTGTGAACTTCTGATTCGACCTGACACCCTTGGGACGCCCGCTGCCAGACATGTACGTCGTGTGAGGTGCTTTGAGCCTTACTACTCACAGCTTATGGCAGTACCGACAAATCTCGAATGTTCCAAGCAACATCTGTAAATAGATCTACAGGTACAGCAGCGGCCTCGCTAATGGACTTGCTCACTCGTTTGAAGAAAGCGATATTTACGGTATCACAGTAATCTGATAGCATCTGACAGGGGTTGGGGGCATTCGGATAGGATCATTTAAGGAGTCTGCTTGCGCAGCGGATAATCAGAACCACCGTTAAGTCGGTGAAGGAATGGAAGACAGGCTTCGTACCGTGTGGCGATACATAGCAGTCTCAAAGAAAATGCATTGAATATGACTTACTGAGTGAGTAGCAGAGTGCGATGGCAGGCACTTAGCAAGATGTGACTCGTACAAGCTTGTTGCACAAAATGCTCATCCAGAATCTTCTTCGACAGCTCAACAGGCGATCATCGATTGACACCTGCGTGAGCCAATATACCCATGGATGGTCCTCAGTAATACTTCTTTGAGCTTCTGATGGAGCACATACGTGAGATTGATTTTGTATCCATGCTGGCGAGAAATATAGAAAGTCATCTACAGTATAAAACCTCAAGGTACGGGTACCGGCGCTCACCGTATTCTCCATCCGAGTTCCGATTGCGCTGAGCTTCAATGCGAGCCCTGGCAGCTGTCCGAAACACTGTCATGCTGTTAGCAGTCATACTGCTTGCCACCAGTGTGGCAGCTAGACCACTGGACACATCCGATCCGGATGTTTCCGAAGTTGGGCGTAAGCATCATCCATATTCCTTGGTTTGAGTTGGCGCTGAATACTACCGTCGATTTCAGTGACTCCGGATTATATCCCTATGTGATCGCGGAGCTCAAGCTATACGACACAACGGTTATACACGTAACGTAGGTCTCATCATACAGTACCTCAAGCATGTCTCATGTCCGTATTCTGACGCGCAGACGAGGAAGTCGTATCCGTAGTTTCCTCTCTGGAGCAGATTGTACCTGATGAACACGTATATCACGGGGATGTAGTAGTCGAGCAAGCGGGTGCCATGTGAACTTTCCTATTCCCGCTACCGTAGGTAGTGGGTCTTAAGCTTAGACCCCCCGGACGTTCGCAGGTTTCCTGCGATCGTTTCAAGATCTGAGGGAGCACGTGTTGCCATGACATGGCTGCTACTTCTTGTGGATACTATCATTTTGGGGGTTCTGTCAAGATCTCGGAAAACAGCCTGCCGCAGGCCCGCTCCTTGGACAATCATTTTACTTTCAGTCAGGCATCATAATAGACCCTCCTAAGTACCATCTGCGCAAATAACCACCTCAATTGACTGGGCAAAAAATAATAGAGAGAGATGCCGGTGACGGACCCACAGTCGCAGGTAGTTCTGTCAAAGCGTCACACGCGAGTCACAGTAAGGAATCCGCGCCAATTTCGTCACGCATTTGTCACACCCAGGACCCTTGCACTTCTGTCAAACATAAGGCGGTAGGGCCGTGCGAGCGGCAGAGCCCGCTACCGTAGACATAGATAAGATTTGGTAGCAAGCTGAAAACTTGACATCCTGAGCAGCATCATATACTAATATATTTATTTTGCGAAAGCAGTTGTGTTCCAGCCATGATTTCCGACTGAGCATTCACCTCAACGATTTGAAGAGATGTCCACCTATGTCCACTCACTCCTCCCTCAGGTTCTGAGTATACAAGTCATTTATGTAAAACAGCTGACATTGAAGTATGCTGCTTTCACCTGGAGACCGCATCTCCAATGCCCCAAGCTAGGTCATGTCTGTTCTCTTGAGTCCCTTGACCAGCATCCGCCACTTTGGCTAAAGATGGAAAGAGAGATGCCACGTGGTTCTACAATCGGGGTCCTTTGAGGACCCCATCTTTGATTGGTCCAAAGCCGTGTGCCGGTCCTGCCGTCCGCCATATACGGTTAAGAGCCAAATAGTGTCAAATAGATCGCGTAGATCTTGAAACGATCGCAGGAAACCTGCGAACGGCCGGGGGGTCCAAGACCCACTACCTACGGTAGCGGGAATACGATAGGAGCAGTTGGAATTGCTTTAACACCAATCGGGTGAGTGAACCATGTTTAGCTATACATAATACAGTGTTCCCCAGTGAGCCGATATTTGCCGGAAGACTGTAGGCCCAGAGATCTAATACATCAGGCCTGTTTCTCATGATTACACTGGGCTGTTTGGACAGTATTCGTCCTCCCATTCAACAATGGTAGAAGATATGACAGTTCTGACTTCACAGGCGTTCTCTACGGGTTACAATTCACCTATGTACCAATCTGCTAAGTCACCCGTTACATATTTGCTGAGATTTCGGAGTTCTGTCAAAAATCTGACTTTGACAGAACCCCCAAAATGATAGTACATCGGTTTGCACGCGTTTGCCTATTTCCTATTTCGTATGTTTAGCCGTATGTTATTTCCTGAACACTCTTCCTTACAGCCGCTTGCAGATAGATAGACCATCAATTCAGAAAACCACGTATAGTCGGAGTGGGTCGGAGTGGGTGCCAGGGACGTCGGAAGAAGGTAGAGAAGTCCAGATGGTCTGATTTCTGTCTCTCGGGGACTTGAAATTGCTTGTCCGACATGGTCCGACTGTAAATGATTCTCAAAAAGTGGGCCCATCGATCTGCAAATGGCTGTAGTTATTCCACAGACATTTTCCGAAACATATGATTTCATTATGTCGATTAATTCCGCTTTAGGTCTACGTCATATTGTCTCAGTTACTGTATCTATTTAGCTGTACTTCGTCGAATATACGCCAGAATTCTCCTCTCGCGTCTAAGTCTGACCGGTTTTCAGCCCGAAGACGTGGGTGTAATCACATTCTTATGGCCAATGGCGTGATCGGCATTTTGCTTGAACCAATAGGGATTTCTCCCTGAATTAATAGCAACGGGGTCTTTGTCGGACAGCGCGTGAGCATTTTCTTTTTACAGCCAAGGTGGCGGAAACACTGCACTGTTGCCGTCTCCAGGGAAAAGCAAGCCTGAGCTAGGACTGCAGAGGCTTTAAACGGGGTCACGGATAATACTCATGAATAGAGTACTTACCACCATCCTGGGCATCCGGGCAGACAAAATATCCGGAAATGAGTGAAGCACAAATGCTTAGGTTGCTGTTAATTCTAAGTATCTCTACGGTAGCGGGCTCTGCCGTGCTCGCACGGCCTTACAGCTTTATATCGTGGCTTTACATCGTGGCAAGTCCAGGCTAGGGTCTAACTCAGCGCAAAACGATAAGTCCGACAATAGAGGATGACGAATTCTCTCACTGCGTCAAACAGAGATTATTGATTTTCATCCTTTCAACTTCACTGTCGACGACCGCAGACACGACGATTCGCGGTCGGACGGTTCCAAGTCGCGCAATTGCAATTGGTCATAAGTAACCTGTAACACAGCGTGACCGACGCGTGACGCAGAGCCAGTCACGTACAAGCACTAAGCTTGAAGTCTACCCAGAGTCCACCACCCAGATAGCTCTCCACATTGTATTCTTCGTTCTCTACGCGCAGAATGACTTCAATGGAAGCACCGCGGGCTATTAAGTATGTATGCTTATTGCGATTCATTCAGCGAATGGACTGAACTGGCCCTTATACTTACCATTGACAAGGAAGCGCAAGCTCTTGGACAAGACATTACCCAACGTCATACTTGAGGACGAAGAGTTCACGGTTGACTCAAAGATGTACCAGGAACTGCTGGATATGGAGAAGCGACTCGACTGGACGATGACGCGGAAGAAGGTCGAGGTGCAGGACGCGCTGGGCAGGCCTGTCACGGTGCGCCCATGACCACGTATAGTGATTGTACTCGCCGGCTGACTGGGACTTGGGTAGGCGACGAGAACGCTGAGGCTTTTTCTGAGCCATACAGTCTCCGGGCAGGAGTGGCAGAAGACCGAGGGGGTGGGGGAGGATGTGAATTTCGAGACGGGGGACGGTATTCCGGCATGGCAGTTGAAGATTGAGGGGCGTCTGCTCGAGGTGCGCTAGCTCTGCATGATCGTTCTGTTTCTCTTATGGACGCACCCCGTCGGTAGGTTCCTCACCAGCGGTCGAAGGACAAAGCTCCGCCCCGGAAGTTCTCCACCTTCATCAAGCAGATGATCGTCGAAATGGACCGCGACCCTGCGCTTTACCCTGACGGTAACATCGTTGAAGTTCGTGCTCCCAGAGTTTCGTATGATTGGGGCGGATGCTGATGGGTATGTCAGTGGCTGCGGAGACCGAACCAAGAAGCATTGGACGGGTTCACGATACGACGGACAGGCGACAAGCCCGTCAAGTTACGAATATTAATGTACCTGGAGCACCAACCAGAACAGTTCAAGGTAGCGCCAGAACTAGGTGAGTCTTTCCGTTGCCAGCCGAAGGTGCATGCCAATGACGGCAGGGCATGTAGGCAACGTGCTGGGTATCAAAGAGGATACGCGACTCGGAGTCATCCAGGCTTTGTGGAATTACATCAAAATCAAGAATCTGCAGGGTAAGATAGACAGGAAGATGATCGAGCTGGATGAGTACCTCCGGCAGGTGCGTCGTGCGCTTCTGCCGCCCTTATCCTCGTTATTGACCCACGGAATCCGTGCAGGCGTTCCGCGTGGATGTGATCGAGTTTCTGAAGCTGCCCGAGGCTGTCGACAAATTCCTCATGCCGCCGGACCCCATCATCCTGCACTATACCATAAACCCGTCGATACAGCCGCCCGAAAGGCCGAGCGCGTACGACGTAGAGGTCAAGATGGACGATGTGAACCTCAAAGCGCGGATGAGCAACGTCGTGGTGAACATGACATCGGAGAGCAGCCGGGAGCTGACGAAGCTCGACGAAGAGGCGAGCGGCACCCTACCACGCCCGTTATCTATACCCAACACTAATTTCTCCGACTCTACTCTAGATTGCGCTGCACGTCCAGTCCCTGCACAACTCGCACATCAAGCGGACCTTCCTGCGCTCGTTCGCGAAGGACCCGGCGGAGTTCGTCCAGACGTGGCTCGCGTCGCAGTCGCGCGACCTCGAGAGCGTGCTGGGCAGCGGCCCGAGCGAGGGCGCGACCGTGCGGCAGGAGGAGCTCAAGCGGAGCGAGTTCTTCCGCCTGCCGTGGGTCGAGGAGGCGGTCGCGGTGCAAGAGGGGATGCGGTTGGCGTCCAGGATCGGCGTCATGCAGTGACCTTCGGCTGTCTGATTCTTTTGCAGGAGCTGTTATATATCTTGTCTGTGTACTATGTGTTGTGCTTCCGCCGTTCAGGATGCGGGCACCGTAAAGCTGCCGCGCCTTCCTCCTGAGAATTGTACTGTCCCCTCGTTTCCCCCGCCTGAGATACATCGTCGCTAGGCGTCAGCCTGTACTATGCTACCTGTTGACGTTCCTCCATCGACTGCTTGTATAGAAACCGCCGTCGAGCGGTATTCCAAAGGCTTCCCGATGGATCTTGGCTGTCACGGTGGATGCCGGTCCCTAATAGTAACAGCAATCGGCCCATAAGTTATAACGCTGTACTCTTCTTGACTCCTTACCAAGTGGCACCCTTTCGGGGTCCCAGTGTTCGACGGTCATTTAGAGTAGTTTCTGGCTAATACCCTCTCGAGTACTAGGCGACTCTACTGGCTTTTCTCTCTTAAACTTCCTCAGGCTACACTACGTCCCTATACACCTTACTGATTCCAGAGGTAACGTATGTCGGGCACACCGCCTGGCCAACCCGCCAGCAACGACAGACGTGGCACCCGTGCGAATACCTCACTGCCACCGGCACGTAATCTGGGTCGGACCTCGTCGAACCCACTCCCGGGACCTATTTTTGATCGAACATCTGCGACATCGTATCTTACCGAAAAATCACTAATCCAACCGTCCGATAATTACACGCCGGCGGACCTCGCACCGGTTCTTCTCAATGCCACTAATCAGACAATGACTATAGCGAAAGAGGTAATGAAAGCAGTAGCTTACATTTTACAGGACATCGACAAACAGAGCATCGCCGAGACGTGGAAGCAAGAATACGAAGAACGTATCAAGGTGGTCGAACAGGCGGCCACCACGCGCATCGAACAGGTCGCGGACCACGCCGCTAACACCTTCCGCACCATTGAACAACGACTCGACAACCAGCTCCAGGCCGCCGCTCCCACCTCCACCCAGAGCGGCCCCTTGTATCGTGATGCACTCACCGGACCAGCAAGAGCCCCTAGCGCGAACGCGCGCTCCACCATCAATCCCGCCATCAAAGCTCAAGTCGAGATACGCGCCCGTCAAGTACTCATCGACATCCAGGACGAAGGTGCACGAGAGGAACTCAGGACAGCACGACCACGGGATCTCGTTATCAAGGCGACCGCCATCGCCAAAGAACTCTGGCCGGACTCAACGGATACATGCGAATTCGAGAGTGCGCGGATACTACCCAATGGAGGGGTGGTATTCGAGGTAACTACCCGGGCAGGTGCTGACTTGATTCGAAAGAACAAAGGTGCCTTTGCAGCCCGCTTCCACCCCAGCTCCCAAGTCAAAGACCGACTGTACGCCATCCTCGCAAAATTCGTACCCATCACCTTCGACCCCGATGCGCCGCGCGACCTCCGAGAGATAGAAGAAACAAACCGACTAGATGTAGGCACCATCGCTAAGGCCCGCTGGGTGAAGCCAATCGACAGGAGACACCCCCATCAGCTTGTCGCACATGCCCTGATCCATCTCACGACACCCGAAAACGCCAACAAGGCAATCCGCGATGGCCTTATCATCTGTCACAAACGCGTCCCGGTCCAGCGGGAGATGGTCGAGCCGCTACGCTGCTTGAAGTGCCAGCGCTACGGTCATATCGCCAGAACGTGCCGAACTACTAACGACACCTGCGGAACGTGCGGAGATGCCCATCGAACTTCCGCCTGCATGACCGATGCCACCTTCTGCGTGAACTGCCAGTCCAAAGACCACCCCACCTCTCACCGCGGTTGCCCAGTTTTCCAGAGGGCATACGAACGTCTCAATGCTCACCGACCCGAGAACGCGATGCCGTTCTACGTTACTGACGAGCTGTGGACACAGGTCGCGTTCCCAAGCTTCCAACCGCCCCCGCCGCCCGCGCCATTCATGACAGGAAGGATTGATGTCCCCATTGAGGAGCTAATACACACTAGAATACATCGGCGAAACCCCTCAACCTCCACCCAACGCCCCCCACCTGATCCCGAGCCACCTGCGCCAAGTTTGCAAACTCGTCGCCCCGCTTCTCGTCCCACGCGCCAATCGCGCCTGGACGACTTCCTCTCTTCCGGAGAGCAGCGCACTAGAGCAGACTCACACAGCTCGGCACTGAACCCATGAACGATACGACCCACCAAAACCGCCGACACCTTCGAATCTGGCAAGAGAACCTCAACAAATCCATGAATGCGAACCTCGACCTCATCAACCACCCGCGGCTACACCTCGACTGGGACCTCATCCTCATCCAGGAACCGTACCTTGACTTCCTCAACAACACCCGCGCCTCCCACAACTGGCGGGTTGTATACCCTACTAACCATGGTTCTAGCCCACAGCACACCCGAAGCGTTATCCTCGTCAATTCTAGGCTCAGTACAAACGACTGGCGGCAACTCGATTTCCCTCACCCGGATGTTACGGTACTCCACCTCAGTGGCGCCATCGGCACCCTCACGATCTTCAACATCTACAATGCTGATGACAATGACGACACGCTACATCTCCTTGCCCGATACTGCCATCACGACCTCCAACGACTCTGCCCCAACCATGCCGGTCAATTGATGTGGGCTGGAGACTTCAACCGCAAGCACCCGGCATGGGAACTTCAGGCCAACTCGCGATGCTTCACCACGTCAGCATTACAACGTGCTCAAGTCCTGATCGACTATGTAGCAGATTTCGACCTTTTCATGGCCCTCCCCACAGGCATAGCGACCCTCAAGCACAAATGCTGGAAGGGGGAATACCGGCCCGACAACGTCTTCCTGGCCTCGGATCTTCAAGAGAACTTGATCTCGTGTAAGGCTAACCGGTCACTAACTCCTGCAGGTACCGACCATTATCCGATACTCACGGTCCTTGAATTCACGGTCACGACGCACACACCTGAGCAACGACGGAACTTCCATAATGTAGACTGGAAGAAGTTTCGAGCGGAACTGCAGTCTCAACTAACCACCCTAGGTCCCGCTTGCCGCATACGCACGATCGAAGACTTTCAGGCGAAGGCTGACGGTCTCCACACGGCTCTGGCTAACACCATAGAGAGGGTAGTCCCGCTCCTCAAGCCTAGCCCCTACATGAAGCGATGGTGGACTCCGGAACTCGCCGCCAAACGTAAGGTAAAGCGGAAGCTGGCTGATGAAGCCTACAGGTTCCGATACGTGGACGACCACCCGAGCCACGAAGCGGCCCGACGGGCGGACCAGGATTTCTGCAAAGCTATCCAAAGCCAACGGACTGGCCGCTGGCGGGAATGGATCGGGGAGCTTGAGGGCCAAGAGGTTTGGAAGGCCAAGAACTTCATATCGGGACCGGCTACCGATGGTGGACGAACACGTATACCCAGCCTCAAAACCCGGGACCTCGATGGTCAGGTCATCGACGAAGCATCTACTAACGACGACAAAAGTGCGCGCCTGGCGAACTGCTTCTTCCCGACACCACCAGCTCGCACTCTGGCTGAACCCGACGTCCAGTATCCACCGCCTGTCTCCCGGTACCGTCCTATTACTCGGGCTCGCATCAAGCGGGCCATCTCGTCCCTCGCGCACCACAAGGCACCCGGGCCTGATGGTATCAAGAATATTGTCCTCGTGAGATGCGCCGACATTCTCCTCGACTACCTATACTATCTGTTCAGTGCTGTCTTTGACCTCAAGACCTACTACTCGGTGTGGCGAGAATGGCACACCGTTGTGCTGAGGAAACCCGGCCGGGCTGATTACTCGCAACCGAAGTCCTACCGCCCCATCGCCCTCTACTCGACGGTAGGGAAGTTACTAACCAAAGTAGTCACTGAGGACATAGCCTATATCAGCGAACGCTATGGTGCCCTGCCATTGAAGCACTTTGGCGGACGTCCGGGACGCACCACTACTGACTCGCTCTTCCTAGTTACACAGCGCATCAAAGATGCATGGCGAGTTGGTAAGGTTGCCTCCGTCCTATTTCTGGACATCGAAGGTGCTTTCCCCAACGTCGTGGCAGAACGATTGCTACACAACATGCGTATGCGTGGCATCCCGGAAGAATACGTCCAGTTCGTCGACCGCATGCTCACCGACCGGCGCACGAAACTCAAATTCGACGACTACGAATCCTTTTGGACGTACATCATTAATGGGCTCGGACAGGGTGATCCCCTGTCCATGATTGTTTTCCAGTTTTATAATGCTCCGTTACTTGACATTCCACAGGACCGCACTGAAGATGCGGTAGCATTCGCTGACGACACCGCGCTCATAGCCATTGGTCGGAACTTCCAGGAGACGAACGCTAAGCTCAAAGACATGATGGAGCGACCAGGCGGCGGCTTTGATTGGGCTGCAGCGCACCACTCCAAGTTCGAAGTCAGCAAATTCGGCCTTATTCACTTTTCGCGAGCACGGGTACCAGAGACCGACCCCCTAGCACGACGGAAGACCAAACCCACCCCCAGACCACCACTCGAGCTCCGCGGCATCGTCATCAAGCCACGCGTCACCCACAAGTTCCTCGGCCTCATCCTCGACCAAGAGCTCCGGTGGAAGGCCCAAAAGGACTACGCCGTCGGGAAGGGTATCGCCTACACGTTCCAGCTGCGCCGACTCGCGAAAACAAACTACGGGCTACCATTAGCGGGTGTAACACATCTATACCAAGGTGTCAGCGTACGACAGACACTGTATGGTGCGGCGGTATGGTACACCCCGGTTCACCACCGAGTTGGGAGCAAAGCACGTAAGGGGTCGGTGGAAGCTACAAAGCGCATCGCGACAGTCCAGCGCGCAGCGGCTACGAGCATAACAGGGGGTTTGCGCAGCACCGCCACTGACGTCTTAGATGCCCATGCAGGACTCCTCCCGGTACACCATCTCCTCGACCTCGAATGCTACAGGGAAGCCTTGCGACTAGCAACCCTACCAACCACGCACCCTCTCGCCCCTCACATCAGACGGACCTCACGCCGATATGTCAAATGACATCGCTCCGCCCTCCATCACCTATTCCACATCTTCGACATCCGACCGGACCGCATGGAGAAGATCGACACCGTCGGGCCGCAGCCAAACTGGAAACCCGTGTTCACGACTTCCATTGCTCAAGACAAAAAGCAAGCACTACGGGAGGAAGAAGAATGCACCGGCGAGCCACTGCGTGTATATACCGATGGATCCGGATATGAGGGACAGATAGGTGCCTCCGCTGTACTGATTCGCTCGGACAGGGCTCCGTCCTCGCTCCGATATCATTTAGGAACCGACAAGCAACAGATCGTGTTTGGCGGGGAAGGAGTAGGCGTCCTCCTAGGCCTCGAGCTGCTCAGACTGGAGAAGACGCTTAGGAGGGTAAAGCATGTCCAGATCAGCCTCGACAACCAACCCGTTATACAAGCCCTCCAGAATCCCAAACCGCGAGCAGGCAACTACATCATCAAGCTCATCCGTTCTACTGCCCGGCGTCTCCTCAACGCCCACAAGCACCTCCGACTTACCATCCGCTGGACGCCCGGCCACTCCGACGTGGAAGGGAACGAATATGCCGATCGTCAAGCCAAGGACGCAGCGACAGGTAACAGCAGCCCTACTAACCGACTGCCACAGGTACTACGTCGCAAACCTCTCCCTTTCAGCAAATCGGCTCTGAAGCAGGAACATCAAGCGAAGCTCAAATCACTATGGGAGGCGGAGTGGTCCAAATCGCCACGATATGCGAAGTTTGCCAGCCTCGACAAGAAATTGCTATCGGGGTCCTTCCGAAAGCTCGCGAAGACACTTACAAGGCCTCAGACGAGCATCATTATGCAGCTTCGTACCGGCCACATCCCGCTCAATGGGTACCTTCATCGCATCCGCAAAGCTGAATCCCCCGACTGCCCTCATTGTCCAGGCATCGCCGAAACAGTCCAACATTACCTGCTCGAATGTAATGCGTACGAGCGACCGCGCCACGCCCTTCGACGGACTCTCGGACGAACAGCTAACGACCTGTCGACCCTCCTCTGTGACCGCGTCCGCGAGACACTCAAATATGTCCATCACACGAAGCGCTTCAAGAACATATACGGTGAAGTACTCTTCCCCCGCGACGGGTCAGGTAACAGCTAGGCTGCTAGGTGTCAGGATAGCCAACTGTCCACGAGCCCCGTCTGCAAGACTCCCCCCTCGACAACATCATCACGCCTCCACTACTCTACAAACCAACTTAATCTCCTCAAATCTATATGTGGGATGCTCAGGGTCGTCAAAACCAGGTCAACTATAGGGTTTTACACTTCTCTGGGGGTGACGAGAGCCTAACGGGGCACTACGGGCTAGGCTGGTAGCTTTTTCCCCACAGGGGTTTTGATGCACCCAGCCGAGGATGCTCCGTAACCTCAACATATTCGTTTATTCGCTCACCATGCCGCCACCGCCGTTTTTCGCTTCTCCGCAAAAACACAGGACTCCCGCGCTGCCCGAACTACTCGGGCAAGTGCTTGTTTGTTTGATATTCAGACTGTTTATTGCGAGCTATCTACCACACACATGTAATGTCCAGCTTAGGGCACCTCCCTCCGGACAATAAACAAGAGATTCAAAAAAAAAAAAAAAAAAAAAAAAAAAAAAAAGTTATAACGCTGTAATCAACCCCTGGTTACTCCTTTCCATCGTCCACCGCTCTTTCTTCTACGACTGCCATGGCGAGCAAGCAGGTCTGTGTGTACAAATTCGAGGTTTACGATGAGACTGCTGACGAGGACATACGGGCTTGCAGCTGGGGAAGTTGAGACAGGTATGTATGAGCGTGATCCGTTGATTGAGGAAGGAACTGCGAGTCGCTCATGAATTTGAATATGCGCACACGTATACTTAGTGGGCTGGGGAAGTCATCTCGTCCCGGGAGAGGACAGTCGTCACCGAGGAGTTCAGGGAGCTCGAGGAAGACATCGACTTGAGGAAAGAGGGGATACACAGGTACGTTCGTACTTGTCTGGCCTTCTGATCCTGCCTCTTACCTATACGACTCTCGTACATCTCAGGTTGCACATCGCCTCGCAATCATACCACCACGCCCTGTCCAAGAAGAGAGAATGCGAAGCCGTCGAGGAGCCGGGGAAGTTCCTCCCCGTGGACGCGCTCGGCGTGGTCATGATCACGCATGGCGAGGAGCTGGGCGAGGATTCTGTGCTAGGTCGGTCCGTATCGCATCGCTGCCTTGTCTATCGTGACTCATGCTTATACGAAGGCTCCGCGCTGGTCAAGTTCGGCCGGGCGCATTGTAAAGTCGCGACGCTGCAAGAGGCGCTCGCGTTGACGTTCCAGGATACGTTCCTTACCGCTATGCAGAGATACGAAGACGAGATTAAGGATTACCAGGCTCTGAGGAAGAAGTTGGAGAGTCGAAGGTGGGTGGCGGATTCCGTCCATCCTTGATGTCTTGGCTTCTGCTAACCGCGTGTGTGAGGGTAGGCTTAGTTACGATGCTGCTATCAACAGAATGGAGAAACTCAAAACTTCCAAGAAGGACAAGGAGAAGGAGAAAGCGGAAGCTGAGGACGAGCTCGCCAAAGCCAAGTCGCGATAGTAAGTTATCCGTCCAGGTCGCACTGAGTATACAACCTTACATCACCGTACTATCAGCGAGGAGACGTTCGAAGATGTCCGCGCGATCATGTTTGCCATTCAGGAGAACGAGACGTCCCAGATCCGGGATCTCACGAGCTTCCTAGAGCACGAGATGAACTTTGTAGAGCAGTACCTAGAAGTGCTAAAAGACACGAAAGCCAACTGGGTCGAAGTGTACGTCTCATCTCCTCCCCTGCCGTCCGTCTGACCAACCCCCCTCCCCCGGGGCGTCCAGCCCAAGTATAATTCGGAGCAAAGCAGGCACACTTCGCTCAAAGGCGCCCTCGCCCTCGCCACATGACCGGCGCGGCTCAATCCGCTCGCACAAGTCCTCCGCGTCGCGCTCCTCGCGACCGCCCTCGCCCTCCTCCGAGGAGGAAGAGGAAGACGACGCGCAGACGCCCGGGCCGAATCGCCAGTCCTTCGCACGGCGCAAGTCCGACGCGAGCAAGGTGCCGTCTCGTACCCCCTCGCGCGCCTCGCGGAAGAGGGCTGATAGCGAAGTCGCCACTGACAAGGAGGACAAGGAGAAGGAGAAGGAAAGAGAGAAAGGCCATTCCAAACGGCTGAGCATGGCTGGCTGGGCGAGCAGCGCCGTCGGGTCGATCACGGGCCGGAGCAAGAAGGACAAGGACAAGTTCGCGACGCTCAAGGAGACGGACGGCACGCAGTCCGACGAGGACGAGAGCGACGGCGCGCGCAGCGAGGTCTCGCGGTCATCGCGATTTTCATCGAAGAGCGCAAGCAAGAAGAGCAAGAGCAAGAAAGAGGCGGTGGCGATGGGGAAATCGGTCTCGGCGCCGCAGCCCGGCGGGCGGAAGATGATGAAGGCGCTGTACGACTTCACCGCGTCCTCCGCAGACGAGCTGAGCTTCCGCGCGGGGGACGTGATCACCGTGCAAGCGGAGGTGCTCGAGGGGTGGTGGATGGGCGAGCTGCGTGGGCGCACAGGCCTCTTCCCGACGACATACACCGAACCCCTAGCCACCCCGCCCGTGCCCCCGCGGCCTGGGCGTGCGGGCACGACGTCGTCCAGTTCCTCGTTGTCGTCTTCCAAGGAGCACTACGGCACGCCGAAGGGCTCGGATGGGTACGAGAGCAGCGACGGCGGGCAGGAGGCGCTGTATAGTCGTCAGCCGGTCATGTCCGCGCGGACGCCTGTGTACGGCGCGTTTGATGTGGAGAGCATACAGAGCAGCGTGGGCGACGGGGACGAGGAGGCGAAGCTCATGCCCGGGGGGCCGAATACGGACGACTCGCATACGAACAACACGACGTCTTCGAGTTTGAAGAAGTCCTCGCTCCTCGCACCTGTCATGAACAACCGGGTTAGGTCCGACCCCTCGCCGACGCCTGGTAAACGCCCGCCGCCGCCGCCGCCGCCCGCGAGGAGGGGCACGAAGGTGGGCGGGGCACAAGGGTCGGATACGTCAAGCACGAGCGAGAGGAGGCTGAGCAGTCTCAGGAGCAACTCGGTGGGGTCTGTGGCGGCCCTGGCGAACGTTGTTGCGCCTGGGCAGGTGCACGAGTCGCCGTTCGATAGTCCGAAGGATTCGTCATTCGAGTCATTCCATTAAACGGTAGGCCGCACGGAACTCGAGGGAGCAGTTGAGGATGTGCAAGTGCTAGATCTACGCAGCAGTCACGAACGTTATGACTTGACGAACTCTCGGGACTTTGTTTCAAATCTTAACTCTGATAATACTGGTTTACGAGGGTACGTAGGTACTGAATATTGGTTTTGCTTGCGCTTCCCATCAGTACTATGTCAATGTACACAGATCTATACTCAGCATAAGTAAGATAAGATTTGCCGGATGTTCGATTGCCCAGCGTCAGGGCAGTTTGGGGCGGGAGCCCGTCGGACATTTATCGATCGAAACGGCGCTCGTCATCTCCCCTTTATAACGGACACTCAACAGCGACCAATGGCGTACAATATAATAGTATACATCCCAAAATGCCTACAACAGTCATCCTCGGAGCAGGCATCATCGGCCTCTCGACGGCGTACTACCTCTCATCCCAGTCGCCCTCCGAAACCATCCACCTCGTCGAGTCGTCCCCGGCGCTCTTCGCAAGCGCCTCGGGCAAGGCAGCGGGCTTCCTCGCGCGCGACTGGTTCCCCGCGGCCTCGTCTGCACTCGGCGCCCTTTCCTTCGATCTGCACAAGAAATTAGCGGAGGAGCATAATGGGAAGGAGAAGTGGGGGTGGGGCCCGAGCGTGAGCTATTCGCTGGACAGCACGAAGGGTACGGAGAAGGGAGAGGACTGGCTGTTGGCGGGCGCGAGCCGCGCGAGCGTGGTCGCGGAGACGAGGGATGGGGATGTCCGCCCGAAGTGGTTGACGAATACAGGGGCGCTGCGGAAGCTGTCGGACAGCGATACTACAGGCATAGTGTGCGTCCTATGCTTACAGTCGTACTGCTTGAGATACTGATCCGACGCTACAGGGACCCGCTCCGGCTATGCGAGTGGCTGCTCGAGCAATGCAAGTCCCGCTGCGTGCGGCTGCACCACCCCGCCAAGGCCACCAAAGTCCTCACGACCGACTCTTCCCTCTCGGGCATCCAGGTCACATACTCCGACACCGGCACTACGTCCGAGATCCCCTGCGACGCCCTCGTCATTTCCGCGGGCGCGTGGACAACGCTCGTCTACCGCACGCTCTTCCCCGCCGCCCCGCGCGCGCCGCACATCTCCTCGCTCGCGGGGCACTCGCTCGTATTCAAGTCCCCGCACTGGACAGGGGCCGACGAGGCAGAGGGCGGGGGCGTGTGCCACGCGGTGTTCACGACGCACCCCGGGGGGTTCTCGCCCGAGATCTTCAGCCGGGTCGGCGGGCACATCTGGCTCGGCGGGCTGAACGACGCGCACCTCGATGTGCCGGAGCTCGCGACGGACGTGAAGACGGACGAGAAGAGCACGGAGACGCTGCGGGAGGTCGGGCGGTGGTTGTGCGGGGACGAGCTGGAGGTGATACGGGAGGGCCTGTGTCATCGCCCCGTGACGCGCACGGGGGTGCCTCTCGTCGCACGAGTCCCGGAAGGGGATTTGGGCGGCGTGAAGGGGAGGGTGTATGTTGCTAGCGGGCATGGGCCGTGGGGGATTAGTTTGAGTCTGGGGACTGGACTGGTGGTGAGCGAGATGGTGCTTGGGATGAAGACAAGCGCAGATATCAGCGCCCTGGCTAGATTCTGACGGGTTGCAGATACCGGGAGTGTACGAGCATTATCATCAGGTACACTAACAGGGTCAAATAAGCGCACCTCTGCTGCTATCTATTAAGATACCAATGCCAAGCAGAAGACACCGACCTTGTAACTCGTTCAAGCTCGGAATGAATGGTGGGCATAGTGGCATAAATCGCACTTCAAGCAAGGGAAGATGCTCTCGATACCCGGATGCTCGCCATTCTTACGACCCGACACCGAGGCGGGCACAGCACTTATGTCGTAAAGTACGCTGTAACTTGAAAGACACTGATAGCCTTCGAGGACAGCGCAGCGTAACTCCCAATCGTCGGTGTTCCCTCTACGGACGGGCGCGTCTTTTTTGCGTTGAAAAGGAGACTAGTTCAGTGACATTCAATTCGGGACTGTCCAAGCTAGTCAATCCAGACGATACGAAGACATCCACCCGAACAGTTGAGCCTTCAAATAAGCCAGATAGCACAAGGTAAACTTGAACAACGGCGAGACACAGCACAGGGTAAGGCCAGAGCTGGCAGGCTTGCGCCAAACAAAGGCTCGTGGTCCGTGCACCAGCCACATCCTATAAATCCCCTACCCAAACGTTCCAACAACTCATACTTACCTTGCGGGCGTGTTCCCCTTCACGTACCTGGGAAGTACGGGCCGTGGGGGCTCTCCATAGCACGGCGACCCTGTCCGCAGAGGGCCCCTGCGGTTTGTA